AAGTTTCTTCTTTCTACTTCTGTTTTTCCTTCTTCCGTTGACATTTTGGCGTTCCACGATCAAAAATAAAATAAAAAAGTAAATAAAAAACAGTAGAAAAAAATTTGATGACTAAAACAAAGACAGCAACAAAAAAAAAAGAAAGAAAAAAAACAGGATGAAAAATTAAAGAAATGGTCTTTATCGTTCCAAAAAAAAAAAAAAGTTTAATTTTTTTCTTCTTAATAAAAAAATAGTTCCAAGAAAAGAAAGAAAAATGACAACAAGAAATGACAAAGAAAAAGTGCAAAAATAAAACTATTAAATACTCGCTATTGAAACAAGCAAAAAAAAAAAAAACTTTTTTAAAAAAAAAAAAAAAGATTGATGTTGTTTCTTTTTTTTTTTTTTTCCACCCCACACTCCATTCTCCGACCAAAAAAAAAAATTATAGCCTTCAGCTTCTGCTGACATTTTGCTGCTTCTTTTTTCTCCCGCTGTTGTCCACCCAAAAAGCTACAAAAAAAATATAAAAACAACAAAATTCTTTTCATTTTTGAAACAGTAAATGTACTGCTGCTGTTCAAAATTTTATCATTACAAAACAGTTTCCTTTATTTTAAGAAAGGAACTGAAGAAAAAAAAATTTTTTCAAAAACTAACATGAAAACTAAAAGCACAGCTTTACTGAAGCACAAAAAACCTGTTTTTTTCTCCTCTGCAATAATACTGCAATCTCACTCTAAGATCCAAAATTATGCTCATTTTCAAAAAAAGAATGGTAGTTAGGATAAGTAGAAAAACGATATTTTTTTTTTTTTTTTGCAGAATCACCACTAATTTTAGATCATCATTTAGCACCAGAATCTGTCCACACAATTTTCCAAAATTCTATGCCATCAATTTCAATCAAATAGACTATGACTACCGCGGTAACATCGGCAATTTCAATGTCAGCATCAGCAAAGCAGCAGCAGCTGTAGCTGCAGTTAAAGTCATTAAAACCGACCAACAATTCTATAAAATTGTTGAAGACTAACAAAAAAAAAAACAACAACGAAAAGCATTAAAAAAATTAGCATAATAAGCATGGAAGGCAAAAATTCTTAGAATAATCAGCAATCATCAAAAAAAGAAAAAAAAGAAGGAGCAAAAAAACTGAGTTGATTTAGGCTAAAGATGCATTAAAAAAGAATGTACCACCACTAAGAAAACAAAAAAAAAAAAAAAAGCCAAAAGCCAAGCAGTGGCATCTAAAAACGGCACAATCAAACGAACATCAACTTTTCCTGCTCGATTGTTTCCTTTGAATCAAAAACTATTAACATAGTTAAAACTATAGTAGTTTAAATAATTCAACAAAAATTTTTTTCCCCTCTTCTCCTTTCACCAATGAAAAAAATTTCATCTTTACTGTTGTTTGACCGACTTATTTAGCCCAATCTTTTACCTCTTTTTTTTTTTCCTTTTTTATTTTTTCATTAAAATAAAAG